CCCTCGTGTCTCTTTCCTTTCTTAGACCAAGGTTAATAAAGATATTCACACAAGCTTTAAAGTGCCAAGCAGTATTGATTAATTTGTTGTCCACGTGCCAAATGTCAATTCGCCAACTACGCAAAAATTTTTAGACGAGGAAGTTAAGAGGAAAAATAACTCTGAGGTGTAGACATCAAAACAACCAATACAGTTCCCGGAAGGTGAGTCTCGTCGGCCGTCCATCTCTCAGCCCCCGCCGGAGAATTCCCGCCACGTCGTATTTCACGCGACCTTGGTATTCGTCGGTGCAGAATACCACTTGGTCAGTAAAGCGAACGGGGCTGGGGCTGGGGCTGGAAAGGAGGTGAAATCCCGCGCCATATGAGGCAGAGCGGGAGGCGCGCGGTTCCAGTACGATGGCCGCCTGCTGCGAGTGCACTCTGCGATTGCGCGCTCTCTGCTGCGGGCTGCTGCTGCTGTTGCCGGCGATGGTGACGGCTCACCCGGCGCTCACGGCGGCGCCGCCAGGTAACCACCCACTGCGGAGCGGAGCTGTGTGCGCGTCGAACAAAGAGTCCCTGTATATAAAGAGCAGTGCCTTCCTTTGCGACGCCGATTCCGCCATTTTATGCCTAGTGAGAGCGAAGGCTTCCGAGTCAGTATTTACGTGGCTATCCGGGATATGCAGCGTCCAGGGCACAGGTGCCAACTTTTCGGTCGCCATTCTGCGGCCTTCATCAGGGCGTAGTTATTGCCTTAATAACCTGATGAAGCTCTCAGTATGGCAACCGAAACGTTGGCACCTGTGCCCTGCACGCGGCGTCTCCCGGATAGCCATGTAAAAAATATTTTATGTCTAGTTGTCACGGAAGTTTGAACTGTGCAATATGGTGTGCGTTGGGAGCTACCAATTTATCCAAAATCAATATTCATGACCTCAAAAATCTACAATTGTTATAATTTCTCGAAAATTTGACTGAATTCTACCTTGCGGAGCTATTTGATGAGATGGTATTACTCCCGCAACTTTTCTTCAACGATGGGTTGAAGAAATGCGGGTATATTGCAGTATTAGTTACTAAATAGACCACTAGATTTTATGAAGCAAAGCCAATCTCTGGAGAATCAGTCATGCCTTCGCAACGTTCTCAATAATTTGAATTCTTACTTTTTCCAGAGTTTGAGTTATCTCCTGTGATAGATCTTTACCTGCTTCAGTCATTTCTTTAGATTTTTGGAGGAAATAACAGATAGAAGTTCTCGTCTTCAAAAGAAAATTGTTTCTATTTCACGCCAGGGAAGATGTGTTTGGAATGTTGTCATCAGTGCGTGCTGCAAACCTAATGCCTTCATTTGTTTACTGTGTCCGAGAAGGGAAAGCAAGGCCATCGTTCAAGATAAGTTGCGCGAGTAATATTAAATGGCGCCTGGGGTGCTTCTCTCAGTTTCCAGAGCCTCTATCCTGTACGGTAGATATAGAGAGTAGCGCATTGATTTGCGCCGCCTATTCCGCCATTTTATATCCAGTTGAACTGTGTGGTACTGTGAGTGAGCTAGAGATTAACAATCTACCAAAAATCAATGGTAATGTACACGAAACTCTCCATAACGCTTGCGATTGCTATCATTTGTCCTCAACGTCTGAGTGCTGCCTTTCCATATCTGATGAAAAGAATTTAAAAGTTCATCGAACTGGTCATGAATCTGTTATGTGGGGGTCATTGTTACTTGTTTTATGCTCAAATCTGCAGTACGTGTGAGTACATACATTATGATTGATCAAAATCATATGTAAATTAAAAGCAACTATTTTAAAATTTAGAAATACGTAAAGTTTTGCGGAAGAAATAATGGAATTGCAAAGTGGATAATTAATTGTAATTGTACCGCTCCAGTTCAATAAAGGCAATAATTACACATATCACATACAACATGGATACTGGTCGAAACAGCAATATGCGATTGACATATGGCAAATGGCAATGAAAATACTTTAAATCGCAGAATTGTATTATTTGGCCGTAAATCAATCTAATTAATATTGTTATAATTCAATAAAATTTAAAATATATACTTGTATTATCTCGTAAAAAACTTGTTTGTATTCTCAGGTGCTTTTTGTGACAACTTGACATTTCCCAAATGACATTCAAGTGGATCTCCTGCCATTGGCACATGGCATTTTTATAGGGATTTGACACAAACTTAGTGTTAGCAGTTTTGTTACTTGAATTTTGTTTTCTAGAACATTACTTGAACTTTACCAAGTTTCTTTGCAATCCGTTTCAAAATGCAATGCTGTGGAATGCAATGGTGTGGATAGTTCCATCTCAATTTGATTTTGAGTTATCGTTTCTGACCATATCTCGCTGAACTTAATTCCCAAAACATGGTTTTGTTTTGGAACAAGAAAATATCCAAATGCTGAAAATTTGAACAGATAGAAGATATTTTCATCATTGGTGTAGCATGTTCTAAAACTACATTAATTTTCTTGAATTTCAACATATTTTAATTTTTTGAGAAATTTTTAAATCCAGAATATAACTTTGAAAATACTTGGAAATGAAATATTAAAAGCATTCTAATGATTGAGTGAACTCGACTTGCTTCAAGAAGAATCCTTTGCTACTATGCGTATTCACATTATTTGAAGACGTCCTTGCAAACTATTGAGAACATTTTTGATATATTCATACTCTGAAACCCATTTCCGTGAGATTTTATTATTTTTTGTTGATATAATTTAATATTGAATTTTTTAATTTTTTAAAAATTCAGCATAAACTGCCTTTCACTTTCGACTCCTTGGAGTTATGTGCGGATTGGAATTGGTCAACTGAAATTTCACTAAACATATCAAAATTTACTATTGACTCAATTGAATCTTTACATGAAAAAACACTTGATTACAGTTGAAAGCAATGCAGCAAACGTGCGAGGTTATCATACAAAACGGAACCAACCAGCCACGGCCGATAGCTCAAATAGCAAGTGTGGAGCGATTCAAAGAAGAGCGGGACTTGTCGCTGGGCATTAGCATAAGAAGGTTTCTGCTTTTCCTTGAAGCGCGATCATTAAACACGTATAAATAAAAAAAACCCTCATTTTTGAGGGACATATTTTTCCTTCAACCTAACAAATTTTTAAAAGTGTGCGTTCAATATGATGTTTGATTTCAATTTTATTTTACGTACGAGAATATTTTCAGAATTGTCTAGAAATGTAAAGTGGTATAAACTTAATTTGTATTACCATCCCGGAGAAAATAAAAAAAATTGTATTGGTTTATTAAGATTATAAGGGCATATTTAGTTTGTTAAGGTTTTATTAGAGCACATTATATCGGCCCCCCACTGTTCTGGAACCCTTAAAGCGCGAATTAAGAATGTAAGTACATAATGCACGAATCATTATGTAAATTCAGAGCATACAGAGAGCTAACACTCCAAATCTTACCAGCAGGTTGTAACGTATTCGAAAACACACCAGTGAATTTTTAAGTGCTTTGGACAATTGTAACTCGAATAATGAGCAAAAATAAGTTTGTTTCGTTCGCCAACTGCCGTTAGGAGGGAACATTCGTAAAGGGAAGACAGCTAACGGGCGTTGCTCCCAATGAGACGAGTAAACCCAGACCTGCATTAACGCGCCAGCTCAAGTGCGAAAACCGGCTTTCAGATTAGTTGGCGAGGATCCAGATTAAACTCAATATTTGGGCTGCTGCATTTTCGCATCTTTTCCATTTCACTGCCAATTGTACACTCCTTAAATTTTTATCTGATTAGGAACAATAAAGTAAAATGAAATATTAAAATGTAATTATATCATTGAATACGTTTGTTTAGAAAATAAGATTAAGAAAGTATATGTTAAGAAGAATTTTAATGTAAGAATATGGTTATTCTAATGACCTCCTTTCTGGATGTCGTAAAAATCCTATTCCTCAAAAAATCATATGCAACTTCTCTTAGAAAGGAATTCATTATTAGGAATGTCGAAACCATTAGAACAGTAAAGATGTAGTAAGAATTTTTTTTTCAAAAGTCAGAAGGACTTCAAAGTCAGACACTCTGCGTTTTCGATTATGCGTCATTTTATTAATTAGTATTCACAAAACCAACAATAAAATGATATCAGTGTATATACAACTCTAAGCTAAATTTTCTGTATATAAACAATATTACACATATGTGTAATATAAATGAATGAATTAATAATACGCTTGATTTGGAATCTAGTGCTCACGCTCAAAAATCTATTTTCGTACATATGCATGTGAGGCCTTGTCAACAGTCTGGGATAATCCTAGATTGCTCTCGGGGGTCAGAAGTCGCAACTGTTTACGGGATCATCCACTCCTTGTTCGTGTCTGCCTAACGGCCGATGGTTGACAACGGAGACATGTAACATGTAATATTTTTGCACGTATTTTGAGTTCTAATTCTCAAAACCACTTACATTTTTTTACTACATGCATTTTCGATTGTGCATTATTTGCCGGTAAAGTCTCATTCTCATCCGATTGTCAGTCATCGTGAGTGTTGGCTGGAAGTGAAGAGTTCTATGACTCTTACATTTACATGCACCACACTTCCATACATGTCAGAAGACCAATCGGGAGCTTAGAGCTTGTCCCGGCTGGGGTAGTGCCTCGCTGATGGGTGATACCTGGTTGGGGAAACCCCTTTAGCTGACGGCATGTCGGCGCCGTATCTTACCATCTTTCACCTCTAGCGGGTGATGATCCGCGCCACATCTCGTGGAAAACATGCACTACACTTTTGGGATTAAGGACTGTAGCAGTTGGCGTGTCCGGAATCAGTAATCAACCAATGAACAGTTTTACCCTCCTTCTTCTTCTTCTTCTTCTTCTTCTTCTTCTTCTTCTTCTTCTTCTTCTTCTCAGTCATCGCATTCTCCTCCCGTTTTTCCCTGTTTACTTTCTTTCTCTAGTAGATAGGCCTCTTCTTGTATACGGAAACCAACTGCAGGTGAAACGTGATTCTGCTTCGCAGACCTCAACACCCCGACGCGGCGGCTGATGACGTGTAGCGCGCGGCAGGCGCAGTGCCTGACGCAGGGCCACCTGCCCTACTACGACGGGCGCTGCTTCGACCCGCTGGAGCGCGGGCCGTGCCCGGCGGGCGAGTGGTTCACGCTGGAGCTGGCCGGGGCCGGGGCGGGGGCGCTGGAGGGGCGGTGCGTGCCGCGGCCGTGCCCCGAGGGGCTGCTGCCGGCCGACGGAGGCCTGTGCCTCCGCGAGGAGGAGGCGCGCGAGCGCGTGTGCGGCGGCGGGCCCGTGCACTTGGACCCTGCGGGACGCCCGCGCTGCGGCGCGCGCCGCGGCTGGCCGCCCTTCCTCAGCGCCTACGTCACGTGCGTGCAGCACGACGCGCGGCGCGACGGCTCCAACGAGTGAGCCGCTACACGGCCAGCCACTTCGCTGCTTTCGGGGAAGGTTTCAACAAGGGAGACGAACGAAGGACCATGTTAAAACGAGCATCGGCAATTCAAATACATTCATATTGCCAAATAACGTTTGTCTTTTTCGAAGCCGAAAAATAGAAAATAAATATTTCGTGGTATGCCTCACCTGTAATTAAAACATAGGAAGAAAATTAGTTAAAAATATTAAAATTCAGGGACGCAAACATATTTTTTCGAGAAGAGGGTTATAGGTTTAGTTGACTTCACGTGTTTTTAAAAAGGAAAGTTCATTTATTCTGAATTGTTTCTTATTTGTTGATATATAATTATTAAAACTACCTCATTCTGATGCTGAATTAACAGAAAAAGTAAACTATATTTGTGGATATATTTCATATGCTTCTGTAGGAGAGGCTGAAGACCTAAGAGCTCACCCTTGTTGTTTGCGTAATCGAAATTATGTTTTAATTGAAAATATTCAATGATTTCTGCACGAAATTGTCGGGTTTCTTGACAGTCGGGGCATATCAAGCTAACAGTCTGTTAACTAAGAGTTGTCTTTGGAAATCGTCCGATAATTCACTCCTAAATAAAAATGCTTTTGGTTAATGGCAAATTAATATTTTTAACAAAATAGAAAAACGTCGTGTATTTAATTTTAATTCTTTCCTCCGTGTTTACTGAGGAAATTAATTTGTTTAAAAAATTCAAAAAAAGGCGCTGTTTTCTTCATTCTAATTAACAAGGTTCGAAGGGAGAGCGAGCGATTTTAAAAGTACATATGGACGTTTTCCAAGAAAGCAAGTTTGAAGTACAATCTTGTCATATTTTATTTACTGGCAGATTGTGATTGTTATTTATTATATTCAAATGAAACTATTATTTAAGATAAATAATTGTGTATTACTATTTTAGTAGATTAATATATCCTATTCCTTTCATTTTATGAATTCACCTAAAAATATTTCAATCTTAGATCTTTTATAATTATTTCATATACTGTATTCATTGATAATAAAACAATGTTAACATTCAAAATGTTTCACATACTTAAAATTCCATGTCCTGGAGGTACCTAGAAAACCCCCATGTAGAATGTTTGACACCCAATTCGTATCTACTCCTCTCCCAGCCCGTATGTTCTGTGAATGTACCGAGCGAAGAGCGTAGCGCGCGGACTTCGCAATCGGGAGGTCCGGGTTCGATTCCCGCCATCCTGACCGGGGTTTTCGTGGTTTCCCAAGGTCATAAGGCGAATGCTGGGATGGTTCAAAAAAGCCCACGATCACCTTCCACCAATATTCTATCACCTTATAACGTAATACTTGAGTTGCTGCTTGCTAGACCCCGCTTGCACTCACAATGGTATAGGCAGACAGGGCGTCGCAGTTAAAGCAGCAAAAGCATATCACAAATTATTTAAAGTTTATGGGTCCTTGGGAGCTAAGTCCCTTCAGAAGACTGCAGGATGGTGGATCAGCACAAGTGAAAATGAAAGACAGAATATGTTTTAGCAAATGTCGAAGCAAGAGTCCTTTACTTACACAGAAATGAAGTTACACAGAAAACAAGTTACATCAAAGTGATGTGGAGACCTCCGTCCAAGTAAACGGTAGCTCAGAGAGTCCCCCGGGCGGGGCCCGTGGGCGTATTTTAAAGAACTCAGGGCTTTGTTCATCATACGCTTCCACTTGGGTGGCACGTGGCCTCCCTTCCCCAAACATGACGTGGCCACAAGGCGTCGAAACGCCTCTCTTTGCTGATGCCTCTACTTCGGACATGTCGTCCGTCACCTTAAAGGCTTACTCAGCTGAGGGCTGCTAGCGAGTGGCCTCATGTCGCAAGAACCCACGTGCCTAAGTATTTATGTTTGTGGATACTTCCCAGTGGAATGCGTCATGATCAAAGCTCCTATAGAATATTAAAAAGTATGAATACAATTATTACAGTTACAAACGTTGGCTTACAAACAATTATGTTCTGTGAATGTGCCTGCGTGCATACCGTATCCTCAGTAACGAGCCTGTGTGGAAGTGTGCGCTCACGAGTGGTTTGGAAAAATGAACTTATCCCCTTAGAGCTCCTTCCCACGTCGCGACGCCAGCGCGCTTCCGTCAAGACTCTCGCTACGCGAAGCGGAGGAGGGCGTATGCGCCACCGCTAGCAGAATACAGCTTTAAATGAGAGCCTTCCAACTGCGGCCGCCGGTCGCTGCGTTTTACCTGCTGCGCTCCCTTTGTTCGACGTCGCCGGATGGTCGGCGAAGAGCCTTGCTGATTGACGTACGCGCGCTGCCGTGGCGGCGTGGGAAAGCGCCCTTATACGATTTTGGCATTGTGCGCGTTATTTGGGTGCCTTACGTACCCTTATCTGGTGTCAGTCCTGAGAAACATAAGTAAAGATATGAATTACATTGTTTAATACAAAAGTTTAAGTGATTTTTCGTCTATGAATAAACACGTAGTCCGACGCAGGCATAAAAACTCCATTAATTGAACTTGTAAATGTTTACAAGGAAAAAACATGTCTGTTCTTTTTGTAGGGCTGATGTTTTGGGGGAAGAGGCATTTCTTTTTTAACAAGTTCCTTTTATGGAACGCCTTTTTGCAAGACTACAAAAGCTAATAAAAAGTTTCTTTTAAAAAGTGTGAATTAATTGAACTCATTTCAGGTCTACGACGTAATAACTAGGCAAAATAACCTTACTTTCCACCTGCAGTCGGCCTTTTTGTAGTTCATTTGAACGAAGTTAATTTCGTTTTTCTTCTTCATGCCTTCTATGCTTGCATGTCCGCTGAGTTTTTAGCTTTGAATATTTCATGCTATGTTCTTTCATGGAGTACGAGTCTCAAATTTTTTCACCACGTATTTGTATTTAAACACATGGAAGAGGCAGATGAGATTAATGTAGCATATTTTAGCAAAAAAATAATGTTGAATATTCAAACATTTTTTAGTTTGAATAGTAATTTAATTGACGTATTACAAAGTTTTCAAATTAACCTGCTTGTTTCCAATTATTCATTGCCTGCAACATACAAATTACCTGCATGTAACCAATTCTTTCTAGTAACAAAGTTATTGCAAATGTTAAAAAGTACTCGAATCTAGACTAAAATATAACAAGTTAAAGTGTCCAGTCTTGTTTATTTGTACATTCGGCTAAAAGCAAGAGCTCCACCAAGTGGATATCAATGCAATTTTATCAACATGTAGAACGTATATTTCTGAAGATTTTGGGGTTAACACCATTCTGTTTCATATAATGATGACTACCCAATAATATTTTTAAAATTGTCACGAATGATTAGCAGAATCAGAACCTCCTGAAGAGTAAAAACTCCCTGGCTCCATTTCAGTATTCTCACTGTTCTTTGTGGCAGCAAATTGTCATATGATGGTTCACTTTTACGACGTATCCTCAATTTAATTTAAGGCGATTCAATTCCAGCAGGTTTTGTCGTTGTTTAGTCTCTAAATACAAATTATCGTTACTGCATAGGTTTGTACACACAGCGAGGCAAACCGGCTAATTTTAGCTCAGTGCAATCACACACACACACACACACACACACACAAGTACATGCACATTGCCGCTGGTGCTGTAATGACTCTTACCAAAGGGTACCAGGATTCGAGTCCCGGCAGATTTTTCCCCTAGCTATAACTGTTTACACTGGCACAACAGCTCCTGACGAGGCCAAGGTCTACCAGTGGCGTCCCAGTCTTGCGGCCATGGATTATGGGGTACGTGTGGTTAGAACATGGACATCCCTATGCCGTATTCTGATCTTTTCAACCGGAGTAGTGAGCTTTCTCGTAGTCACACCGCAACATATACTGAGACATTACAAGGAGAGCGCATACTATAATCTGCCCGACCGGAAATCGAACTCGGGACGCGTAGTGGAAAGTGAGCACCCGTGGGGCACACTAGCTATATAACAAGGTCAAATTCAGACGCTGCCTGGAGGAGAAGTCTAGCAGCCGTCTGCTTTGATCAGTTATTTTCCGTGGTTTTGCCGATCAGTATCAGGCGAATGTCGGAGCAGTTCCCTGAAAAACGGGTTATCGAGAGCGGGCGATCTTTTCTTCCTCCTTCTTGTCCTGATCCTTATAAACACACACTGACATGTATTGCACTACACTACCGCACATTTATCGGGAGCTGAAAGCTTGTTCTGACTCAGGCGGTGCCCTGATTGTGGAGATAGCTGGAGGATGAAATCCGAGCAAGTCAACGTGAAGATCTGCTCCAGATCTCATCTTGCAGCAGAGAATGACCTTTTCCCGGTATAAAAAAAATACTACACTTCCGGAACAACTAATGACCATGTTAGTTAACATACCAATGTCAGCGACGGCGATGTAACAGCGTATCAGACTGTTATACCCATGTTCGCGGATTCAAACCTCATCAAAACCGTGAATTTTTTAAGCGAAAACATCTTTCGTGCGCCTTCCATGGGAAGAAAGTAAAGCTGGCTGTCGCATGTTATAGGTGTTGTGGTGCGTTATCGTTGCCATTAGTCATGAAATAATTATAAACGTTGTCATTGCCAATAATAGTATTTATTATAAGAGCAGCTTTCGATGGTATAGCCTAATCATCAGTTGTCTGATACAAGAAGAAGTTTTGTTTTTTTGTTCTTGTATCAGACCATCGAAAGCTGCTCTTATAATAAATACTATTGTTGGCAATGACAACGTTTATAATTAGTTCATGTCGCAAGTTAGTAGATTTACTTGCATGTAAAACATCTTCAAGCCTAAATGACTCTGAGCTAAATTCAAATCGCCTGTTTCTCGCCCAAGAAATACCTCCCTTCTTTGCTACTTGGTGAAAGGAGCGCAGCAAAATTTGCGTAGTAGTCAGACGGAAGAGCGGGCCTGATAGCCCGAGTCTCGCCCCGTAAAATAAGGGGCAAATCAGTTCAATTCAATGTCAATCACTCAATTATAACAATACAATGTACGGCGTAGTAAGATGGT